GTGGTACGCGGGCCTCTCACTGTTGTGGCCTCTCCCGTTGCGGAGCACAGGCTCCGGACGTGCAGGCTCAGCGGCCATGGCTCAGGGGCCCAGCCACTCCGCAGCATGTGGGATCTTCCCGGACCAGGGCACGAACCCGTGTCCCCCAAATCGGCAGGCGGACTCTCAACCACTGCGCCACCAGGGAAGCCCCAAAGTGGCACATTTTAGAGTGTTATATTCTGCTCCCCTTCATCATGAAAGTGCCTTGAGAAAAGCACAGATCCTGGGTGATCTGTCACCATTTGAGTTAATAGATTGGAATTCATTATCAGGCTCAGTTTAAAAAAAAAGTAATAATAATGCCCATCACACTGCCTGACACACAGTAAGATCTCTACAATAGAAGCTACCTTCTCTAATGTGTTGCCCCTTCACAAACTAAAAATCTGATTCCTGATCCTGTTAATCTGAAATCCATAATAAAGTGTAGACAGCACACATGTGACTAAACTGAAAACAGCCTGTATTTAATATAACCTTCATTGAAGTTTTTACCCAAAGTTCCCATTGACTCTCTTCCTTTTATGTCAAGTTCAGCTTCTCGGCTGGTGTGAGAAAGATCTGCATACTGTCCTAGGGTGAGACGGGACCAGTGCCAGTCTCGCTCTCCAGGGAGAAGACCATCTCACTGTGGTAATCCTCCGTCCCACCGTCCTCGTCTGCTCCCTCTCAGGTTCCCCCTCCTCTCAGCAGTGCCTGCCTCATCAATTCCACTGGGCAGAATTCTCAAAGAGGGCTAAGAGTATGACAAGACTTCTGCAAGATTTCTTTTTAATTAAAAGGGTCACCAGCGATTGAAATTGTTCTCAAAGTTCAGTGCCTGGTGAGGCCAGTTACCAGTGGGTTTACATTTCCGGTAAATTTGGCTGAGTGTGCCCTGAATCCCAGAGAGGGAATTAAATGGACCATTATTGGGAATTCCCTGGCGGTCCGGTGGTTGGGACTCCAGGCTTCCACT